AATCGTTAGATGCATCAGTGTATTGGTGGTCAGGGCAATGTAACATATCCGTCTTGGATTTCAAGCCCTTTATCTGCTGCATTGTAAAAAAAAGTGAACATTACCAGTTATAAAGCATCAGTCGGGTTTCAGTCTCAACTAGCGCCAACATTTAAGGCACTTCCCCTAACCAAAACAATAACGTACATTCTGTCTGAACGCATTTTTCGCACATTTCGAATTACTGTTGATTTTCCGCCCACCGTTTTGCCCTTTCCTTATTTTACTCAACTTTAACCATAAGTCACAACTGATCAATACCACCTCCCTTTAAGCGCGTTTTATATTAATTTATAATAGCCACCTCCCATAGCTACTCAGAAGGCAATATTATTTTACGCCGTTTAAAAACGGATGTATCGTGTTTGGCACCAGATATGTAGAACTTTCTAGACGACCTGAGTGCAAGTAAATTTCGGGCCCTGGATTCACATGGGTTACCATTTTAAACACTTATGGCGCTCCTGCTTCGCCATGGCTTACAAGTAATCCTTTACAGCCCCTAATATAATAGCTACGGGGACTATGGGCCCATTCAGCATGTTGCTCTCGATCATATTTATTCAACTCGTTACAACCTTTTTTTTACGACATACTGTCGTGTTCCACTGCCGCCTACCGCCTTAGACTCCTGGCTGTGCCCGCCGTTTGACTTTGGGCCCGCAAAACCCGTTTCCGCCCCAGGTTGTGACGGTTCCAGGTAGCAAAAACTTGCCACCCTGTTCGCCGCGACCGAAAGCTAAAAGGCCATCTGGCGAATGGCAAAAAAATGCAGAAAACAAAATAAGAAACATAGAGGGTATATGTCTGCGGTCGGGCACTTTATGGTAACACCAATACACCCCGCCTACGCGGGACTGTCGTCGGGGTGGTGAAAAAAGAATCGATAAGAAAAATAAATGAGAGGAAAGAAGGGAACAGAAGAAAACAGAAGAAAAAAAAAAGAAAATAAACCGGAAATAGAGAAAAGAAAAAAAAGAAAAGAAAGACAAGCGAAGGCGGATAGTCGAAGACACAATGCCAAAAAAGGGGGACTGGACCCCAACGTCAGGATAAAACCACATGACGAGAAAAAACGATTGGAGCGGAAAACAGTATCAGATAGAATGAAAGAAAGAAGTTCCAAAGCACAGCTCCAGAGAGAGATACGAAAATTGTAGTCGTGGCCACTCGTGAGTGAGCGATGGAACCAAGAGAGGAAAAGACGACGGATGAGAACAGGTATAAACAAATAAGAAAGAAAAGAAGAGACAAAGAGAGACATACCGAAATAAATAGGCAGCAAGGAAGAAAAAAGCAACAAACAGGAACAAATGGGTAACTTCAAGCCCACCGGAAAGAAGATGCAAGCGGACAAAAAAGAATAATAAAAATCGCCTACACAGACAAAGAAAGGGACCTGAAAACAAAAAGGTAAAGATAGGAAGATAAGAAAAATAACCGAAAGGATAAAAGAAAACGGAGAAAAAAGCAAAGCAAGAAAAAAAGACGAATAGAAGAAAAAAGGTTTTGTCGTTCGCTTAAGGGTGTGTTCTTTAGTGTGTTTATAGTAATGCGCGTGAGTATAACAAGGACAAGAAAGGAAAGAATAGGACAAAAAGTGCAAAAAGGATAGAGAGAGAAGAAAGAACAATGAAAAGAAGAACTAGGGAGGCCTCCTTGGACGAGCTACGGAAAAGAAAGATTTACAATGATATGTGCCGGACAAAAAGAAGCAAGGAGAAAACCAAGATACATAGGAAAAAATGAAAGTAAGGAAAAGAAAGCGAAAGAAAAAAAAGGAAAGGGCTGGGAAAGGGGTAAGAAATCATACATGAGACTAAGAGAGGTGAGAAGAAAAGAACCAAAAAGATAAAGAAAAATCATAGAGACTAAAAAGAAAGAAAGATGAATAATGAAAGAAAAGAACTAAACATTCCAAAGAGAAGACGAAAGGTACAAGGATATATGCAAAGAAGAAAGATCAAGAAATTACTGATAAGACAAAGGGCAAAGAGCTATCAAAGAAACTTATGGAACAAACAAGAAACAGAAGAATAGAAGTAGGGAAAACAAAAACTCCGCCCGGGGTAAATGCGCGGAGCATAAGAAATATAGAAAATGTAACAAAAGATGGTGCTCCAGGAAAAGAAACACAAAAGACAGTAAGACGGAACAATCTGACAAAGGAAGATTAAAAAAGAATAAAATTAAAGCAAACAAGGAAATAGAGGAGAGAAAAAGGAGAAAAGAAAAGAATGATGAGAAAAAAGAACACTCACAAACGGAAAAACAGTATAAAAGAAAGAAGAGAAAGACAGACTAAATAAAAAAGATGCTTAGAAAAGGTAAACACAGAAAAGGCGTAGAAGAACGAGAAAGAATCAAGGACCTAAACGATGCAACGAGTCAAAAGGTTAATCTGAACGTATAAGAGAATGTATTGATGAGCAGGCCTGAAAGGGCAGAGATTTCGAGGGTAGCAAACAGCGTTGTCTGTAACGCAGATCAAAGAGAACAGTATGAGGAAAAAAGGGAGCAGTAGACCAGGGGCAGAAGAGGGAAAGCAAGAAAGGAAGACGAAAAAAAAATCAGGAGGTGAGAAAGTGCAAGAAGAAGAAACAAAAAAAAAGAACGCAAGAGCTTGGAGCAGGAAAGAAAACAAAGAAAGAGTAGAAAATGAGCGCAAAAAGGAAGCAAAGAAGAATGTTATGGGAGAAAGAGAGCCAAGTGTTAAACATAAAGTAAAAAAGAGCGAAAACAAGCGTGGCAGGAACCAAAAAAAAGAAAGAAATGAAAAAAAATCAAAAGAAAGAAAAAAAGACTAGCGTGCACAGCCCAGTGTAAAGAAAGAAAAAAGCAAAGATGTAAAGTCGATGATGCAGCAACAACCATGGCTGCGATCCTACGCGAAAGAGGAAAGAGCAGAAGAAAGTAAGGAGAAGCAGATGGAGAAAAACATCCCCGTATCGCTTAGAAGAATAAGTGCACGGCGCAAGCCACTTCCTAGGGGGTTAAGCAAATAAGAGAACGAGGACGCGCGGAGAAGATAAAAGATGCAGAAGAAATCAGCCGGACTAACAAAAAAGAAAGATGAAGGAAGTAAGAAAGATCAAGTGTGAAGGTATAGGGTACGAGAAGAAAAAGACAGACGAAAAGCAACAAGAGAAAAAAAAAAAAACTCCAATTTCGAAATGAAGAAGATAAGTAGGACTAAAGACAGATGGCAAGAAGAAGAAACGGACAAAACAGGAGGGAAAAACACTCAAAAAGAAGAGAAGAATGGAAATCAAGAACGTATTATAAAGAGATATGGTGATAGAAAGAAGAAAGCATGAGGAAGAGGAAAGAAAGAATACGACAACACCTGAGGATGGGCAAGTTTGGTTCCAACTATCTGAAAGGTAGATCTGGCTCACTGAAAGAAAAAAAGGCAATCTAAGGGTAAAAGATAGTCAAAAATAAAGAAGGAAGAAGAACTAGAAAGATAAGAAGAGTGGAGGACAAGACCAAAATAAAATAACGGGGATATGGACAGTCAAGATAGAAGTAAGAAGGGATATGGAGACAGAGGAAGAACGCGAAGAACAAAGAAGAAGAGAAACAGACAGAAAACACAAAGAAGGGAAATAATAGGGAAGAAAAAAAAGAAGAACAAAGGGAGAAGTCAACGCAAGAAGAAAAAAAGAGAAGGCTACCGAAAAAAAACGGAAACGGGCAAGGAATAAAGAACAAAAAGAAAGAAAAGAAAGAAAAGCAAAAAGAAAGGAGGAAAGATAAGAAAGACATAAAGAAAGGAAGCAGGAAAAGAAAGATTAAGAAAAAAAAAGAGAAAGAAAAAGCCAAAGAAAAAAATAGAAGGAAGAAAGGAAAGAACCGAAGGAAAAAGGAGAACGACGTAATAAGTGAAAAGAAGACGGAAGAAGCAGAAAGAAGGAAACTAAAGGAAAAAAAGGAAAACACGATGAAGAGCAAGAATGGTGAACAAGAGGTAGCCGAGAAGGGGCAAGAGACGACGAAAAGGAAAAAGCAGAACACGAAGGCAGCGGTCACCTTGCCCGCGTAAAACTCCAACCAAAAAGAAACTGAAGAGATAAAAAGAGCAACCCCGGGAAAAACAAAGGAAAGGAAAGAGACAAGCCGACGGAGAAAGAAGTCGGAGCCGGGCAAGCCGACAACAGAAATAAGAAAGAAGAACGTAGGGAGCAGAAGCGGACACGGAAACGTAGAACAACAGGGGAGGCGGGACAAGGCTAAAGATAGATTATCATGGCCATACGGCTAATAGCCCTGTCTTTGATGGACCAGTGGGTGATGTGGAAGGAATAAAAAAACGACCCCAGCGTGTCCTGTAGTATAAAACAACGGGAAGTCACAGCGTGTAGGGTACCTCAGACTACCAAAACTTAAGTCATCTGTTCACTAGATTAGGTACATTCGTTATAAGAAAGTAAAAGAATGCCAGGGGAAGTCGCGTAACGAAACAGAGAAGAACCATTGAAAAGGGAACTATGTATAAATGAGAGTGAGAAGTAAGAGTACAGGTTCTTATGCAACTGTGGTAAGGGATAGTGTAAATTGAAGAAGAGTAAAGTTAAGAGGAACGTGGAAAGACTCATGTTTGACCTTAAAGATAGAACTTGAGCAGGGATTCTCCGGCCGCTTAGAAAAAGGGAAGTTTTGATGTCGAAAAGAATAGTAGTGGAGTTGCAATAAAAAAACATGGATCTACCATCCCTTCCGCGGATGTTTTTAGAGTAAGCTGTTGATATCGCAGCATGAACGTCGAAAAACTCTTAAAAGACGGAAAGGGACATTGGCTTGAGAGACAGAGAACGAAGAATAAAAAGTAAAATACGGTCGTATAGAAAGCTCCTGATAATCGAACCTTGATGAAAGACTTGGATAGTATTATTCTCTGTAGGGAAAGCTAGACGGAGTGTTAGTGGGTTGCAAGTGGCCTAATAATCCTCCTGAAAGATTCATGCTGTCCCCCCCCCCCCCAGGTCCTTGTCGCATACTTGTATCCCCACCCCCCCCCCATGTTTGGAGGTGATATTTAATCCATCACGGTGCTGCAGTAGAAGCGAAAGAATTGTATTGTAAGAAACTGAAAAAAAATAAGAATATTAACGAAAAGGCAAGAGAAAGAAAATACGTTCAAGGGAAAACACGCCTACACGACTGGTTTGAGCGATAGAATAACGGAAGCAAGCAGAAAAAAGAAGCTTTGGAAGGATACACGCCTAGGTTGCAAGGGAAGAGCGTTTGGCAAATATCGACGAAGAGCCTATAGATAAGATCAAGAGGAACGGTTGATGAAGAAAGGAATGACGATCAAAAGATAGATAAGAAATAGGTATAAGAAAAGAATCAGCCGGACAAGCTGTGACCTATGCGCTGGTAGTAGCGAACTCAAACCTCATATGATTGGGATAAACAGACGTGAGACAGTAATGAAAGGTAACGAACGACGCGGATTGAAGCTTAACAGGGAAGGCCGAAGAACCGAAGTGAGGAATACAGTAGAAACGGTTTGGAGCTGTGCTAACGTAGGGGAAGAAGAGCAATCCAGTAATAAGTCGAACCACGTAGATTTTGGTTTGGCTGTCCAAGAATATAAAGATTGGAATGAAGTTCATGGAAGAGATATCAAATAGCTGTTGTATAGCGAGAGATACATGAGCGCTGATACCAGACAGAATATAAGGGATGAAAAGTAAGATAGTGTGCCTGGACTGAGAGAACCAAGGGCTAGAGCCCATAGTCGCACAACTTGCTTAAATAATACGACATACAGCAGTCTGGGTCGAGTATCGGTCTACCAGTCAACTCGGAGGTTGATGTCACACGAGAAGTGGCCGAATTGGTCGCCTATAGTCGTGTGTAAAAAGTACAAATGATATCCGTTGTAGGGAGAAAGAATATGCCGCGATGGGATTACCCAAGCCAGTTTGTAGAGTAGGAATGTAGTTAGGATGCCTGGTGGGCAGTAAAAAATTGCTCAAACTGTGCCTTTAGAGAGATAAGCAAGAGAAAGTAGATCTCTAAGTGCCAGATCTTTTTAGTATTGGTGTAACTAAATCCGAGAGCTAGCGCTAAGTTATGAAAATAGTTAAAATTATGACCTAATAGTTTTCTTCGTTGCCGTTTATTAGAAGTTGTTTGTTCCCAAACTCACCCCAGGGAAGGCCACTTAGCGAAACGATTAGATCATATTGCGGGTGACCTACGAAAGCCGAAAAACCAAAAAATATAAGGAAGAGAGAAAGAAGAGAATTCTGGGGGGTTGCAAATCAGGGCCTCAGTTCGATTGTTGGATGTGCAGAGACGAAGAGGAAGTGCCTGCGGGTCAAAAGTCCGGCAACCTCTAGCATCAGGTGAAGTGAGAAGTGAGATATCGATCAATGGCGTTCACACAGTGAGCGAACGAACCATCTGATCTATATAGCCGGTATAGGATAGTCGAGCTGGTCTTCCAAAAAAGAGAAGAGTGGTTGCTATACCCGTATTGGTTGAAGAGTGAGAAACAAAGAGAGCCTTAGCGTACCTAAGAATTGTATGAACGATACGTAACTCAACTGCTCGAAAGAAGTTGTGGTACAGAACCGTATGAGGAAGACGGCCGGCGAGGAAGAAAGTAAAAACCTAAAGAAAAAAATAAAACGAGGCCAAGTGGAAACAAGAGGAAGGGAGGTCGCAGAGAAAATGTATGTGATGATGGAAAAGTAGACGGCGCGATGACAGAAGAGATCTAGTGTGAGTACAGGTCAAGCATAATATTCACTGTGCCCTGGTGCAGGAAAGTATCCTAGTTAGCTGTGGTGAGGAGGTGCGCGGCATGCAAAACTGATGGAATAGGGGTAGCTAAAAAGAACTACTGAGATTTAAGAAGGAAAAAAATAACGGGAGCCAGAAAAGGGGTAAGGTAGCCCGCAGTGAAGCAGAGTCCAAAGAAGTAAATAATCACAGAGAAGATAGCATTAAAAAGAAAAAAGATGAGCTCACAATAAGTAAAGTAAAGAGATGATTATAGATAGTCTACAGCTACATAACGATCACGAAATGTGTACGAAGAAAGACACAGTTCGTTAGTGAGCCTCCTAGGATAGAATTACCGTTACCGAGAAGAGCAAGGGAGCCGAGGCCCTGGTTGAGGTTACTGCAACTGTATAGTTGGGGTATCATCCATGATAAACAAAAACCACTTTGAATGTGTGTTAAAGAATAAGTGGAAATTCTTTAACGGGCGACTATGAACCTGAATCCATGGTTAAAGAATGGAGGATCAACCCTGAAGGCGAAAAGAAAAGAGAGTAAATAAGAATAGGTATAAAGCGCTTGTAAGACAAGAAGAACTGCAGAAAAGAGCGGTATGCATTGAGTAAGTCACGCACGGGGAAGGACTTTCACCGTGTTCACCAATCAAAAAGCGAGGTTTAACGATGAATGACTGGGACACACACAACGATAGCGATGACATGGGACTCAACATGAAAAAACTAGAGTTGATGCTTGGAAGTCATGAAGAAAGGAACGTGGGACCGATGACATGCGCAAACTAAGAACACCGCGCAAACTGACTACGCAATGCAAGTCTAAGAGCAGTTAAACACGCTGATAGACGTAAAACACTAGCCGCTAACCCGCACCTGTACCGCAAATCAAAAACCCAGAGAAGAGAGGAGGCAAAGAACTCCGGACAAACACCCTAGTATTAAACACTACAAAAGAACCAAAATCTAAAAAGAAAATTAATGTGTAGAATTGGGAACGAGAAGGGATAAAAAGATAGAAAATGAATAACACGACTAGCCTTGGCTACTACCGTTGATCTATGATAAGGATATCCTGTTTAGGAGAGTGCGAGAGGTCTAAGATGTCGAAAGAAGAAGAAGCAACAAGATGTCCACATGGAAGACCTTTTGCCATGCGCACGGCATAAAGAAAACGTAATTAGGAGAAGAAAGATTAGTAAATGAGAGTGAAGAGTCGCATGAGCGCTCATCACCTGCTAGTGTATGCAAAAAAGATGTGTGTTAAACACCGCGGCATCATGTATCCAGTGCAAAGATAACTCATGTCATAGTTGTGTCGAAGATGCAGCGATGAACCACGGGATATTAACGTTCTGACCAAAGAAGAGACGCAAGAGATGGTCAGAATAGAGATCGACGAACACCCTTTAAGAGAGAGCCAAGAAGTAAGATAATGGATAAAGGGTGAAATACAACTGTAAGATACTCTGATGTTTAAAAGTACGACGGCTAAGTTCTAGCGAAAGTCTGACAAATATTGAAGAAAAATGAAGTGCAACGCAGCGTAATAATGGTTAGGGGGTATAAAGATAGTGGCACAAAAGGAGCAGCACATCCTTAACGAAGCGTATTATCTAAAACGGATAAAAAAGAAAAGAGAAACAGCACGAAGAAGGACAAAAAGAAAAGATGTCACGAGGGGGATTGAGAAATAAGTATTGGGTACACGAAAGTCGATTAGATTGCGCAAGTAGTCACGAGATAGAAGAGAATAGGACAAAACTGTGCATTACAATTGCAAAAGGAGAAAAAGGGAAAAGAAGACCGGAAAGAAATAGAAGAAAAAAAAAAAAATAACGCGAAGCAATGTACGTCTCCATCAGAGTGTGCGCCAAAAGATACACAATCCATTGTAAGGGGTACAGGACTAACTAATTAATTAATAAAAGAGAAAAAAATGTTACAAGAGAATCAAGAGAGTAAACCTACTGGTAAAGCGAAAGACCTGGACCGAGGCTGCATTGTATACACTGGAATAGTATAGAGGAAAAGAAGAGATCGCGACAACGAATGGTAGGATTTAGCCAGCGATGAAAAAGAGAAGCAAGGCGTTCACGAACAAGGAAGAATTAAAGACAACATTGAACATATAGATAGAGGTTATATTTATGTAAAGTAAGGCATGTGAAAACGACACGGAAAAATCTACTAAAAGAAAGAGAGTTAAGAAGATAAAAGTGAACATACGAACAAGAAAACCAATTTTGAAGAGCGAGCAGGACAGGGAATGAAAACCAGGAAGAACAATCGTAAGCACGGAGGAAGGACTAAGAAAAAAGGGCGAGGCCCAAAACAGAGAGAGTTCCAGATAACTGACTATGGAAGAGATCGTTTGGAGGTGAATAATAAGAAGAAAGAGGAAGATAAAGAAGATGCGCAATAAAAAAAGAAGCAAGAGATGGAGGGAGTGTTCTCCCATAAGAAGATCGCGAGCTTGTTGCATGAACAGGATAGAATATAGACTCACTAGTCCGAGGTCTAAAGTGGGAAGTGGAAGATTAGACAGGGAGAAAGACTCATTAGAAATGAAACTAAAACAGCAAAAGAAGAGATAAGAAGAAAAGAGAGGAGAGATCGAAAGGCGGGGCGACTCAACGAGGGGATAGAGGGGATTGGAAATAAGAAACGAGATGAAAACTCACCGACAGAAAAGAAGGGATAAACTTCGGAGAGATACAAAGACCTTCCATCTAAACGTAAAAACCTTGAAACAAAAGATTTTTGAGTACAAGTCGGATCCCGTGACAAAGAGAGAATAATAGAACTATTGCGACATTAATGCAAGCTGACCTATCCGCAATTCCTCCGGATACCGCGTACTAGAAGAGTACGAAGGACACGACTGGAATGCGACGCTTGCTAACAGCTACGACTTGCCTTTTGGGCTCGAGAGGGCGAGACTGCGGTGATTATAGATCTGTTAGTAGTTGTTTATTGGCCGACGGCTACAATCAATAGTGGCGGCAGAGTGATAAGAGGAAGGAAAAAGAGAGCACAGCGGTGAGAAGCATACTTCTATAAGACACTTGCACTATGTCTCCGGTAATAGTTTTGAGCTCAGAAAACAGAGAAAGACAGTCTGGAACGAAAAAGAAAGATTTTGTCGTAAACACCGGTTAGGATTTATAACAAATCAGTTAGACCGCCTCCAACTGAAAGAAAGATCTGCACTGAAAGAGGGAATAAAGCGTAACTCAAAAGTAAAACATATGATAAAAGTCTATGGAGATAAGAAGGGAGAAAAGATACGGTAGGGACTCAAGAAGTATATACAAGAACGAAGCACACTCCTATGAAATGAACCAGATATTAAGAGCCACTATATGTGAATAATGCAAAAAGACAAGAGCAGGTCTAAAGAGCCCAATAGCATGAAATCGTAAAGAAGAAGCCAAGAACATGCCACCACGACGGTTGGAGGACGCGCAAGAAGAATTAGAAACGACCGTGATATAGAACCATACAGTCAGTTGAGTACATGACTGTAAGACGCAGTTCGAGAAATGGACCCATCCAACTACAAGGTTATCAAGGGTGACCATCCCTTGTGAGAACTTGGATGTAGCTTAGAAAAACGAAAACCATAAGAAGGAAGTGTAACTGGACGAGTGCCCGCACTAAAGACCTCCGTTTAGTCTTTTGTCCTCCTGCTTTCTGACTGTTGAAAGAGAAGGGGCCTAAGGAAAACAGAGGTCGATACTAGACATGTAAGCAAAAGGGAGCAGAAGACAAACAACAGGAAGAAGAGAGCCCGAAAGTTAATGAGACGTTACCGGAACGAAGGGATGAAATGTGAAGTAAAGAAATACTGAACAAAATGTGCCTTGGTACACAAGCTCAGTATTAAACTCGAGGAGGGCCTCCTTAGCTTTACCGATCTTAAAGCATGCTAAAGTTTCCGTCCGACCCTAACCATCTGCGGAAAGTATAGAAAAAGCGCTGACTCGTTCTCAACAGTTGACTCCATAGGTTCTTTTCAGAGGCTCGGCTGAAAGGAAGAGAAGAGACTTACTGCCCTGGCATTGGGCGGAATGTCGGTCAGCCAACGAAAAAGAATTAGAGAGACCAGTACCGTGATAGTGATCTATAATGACGCGGACTTGTGCTATGCTACCGGAGTTAAGCCGTCTTGGCCATACAGTACACAGAAGCAAATAAAAAGGAACATTTTGTTCCTTGACCAGTACTGGCCGAGATAGAGCGCGCTAATAGTTTTTGCAGTCACAATATCATGTGAAAAGTAAAGGAGAAAGAGTCTTGAAAAGAAAAAGAGCTCCCATGCTACCTGTTCACGGAGCTAGAACATGGTAGAGTATAGAACGGAGTCCAGAATACGTCTAAACAGGGCTGACGTCGAGAAAAGAAAGAAGCTAAGAAAGGAGACAACTCAAAGAAAGAACAAGACGTCAACGCCGAGGGCTGAAAGAACATACAAGAGTCAAAAGGAGCCTAAAACATATCGTCTGGAAAAAGAAGCCTAAGGGACAAAGAAAGACCGGACTTCAGCGAAACTTTATGGACAAAGCAGGCGGCACCTTACGCCTGTGGTTTCGGCTGTACCTATATTGTGGGGTTTACCCTACCTGAACTTTCCAAACCCTAGCAATAAATAAGGCATCTTTCTCATCCTACTACGAACTCTCTTTGAGCCTTACGCGGTCGCCGGCCTTGCATTTCTAATGGACCAGGGGAGGCTGGACCATCTGTGGGCTTTACATTCGGGTAAACTGGTGCGAGATAATCTGTAAAAAGACAAGTAGAAGCGTATCTTCAAGCAATTTGGGAATATGAGAGCAGTATAGGAAGATAATAAAGCATTTAATTGAGGAGACCAACGTAACTACCGAAAGGGTCAGGTAATCGCGGAGGTAAAAAGAAAATGAAAGTGTGATCAGAGAATGAAGAATGTGAACGTTCAACAGAACAGGCTAACGGGTAGAGTTAGCCCAAACGCCCCTGGTAGAAGAAGAACAGATATATTTAGGAACTTAGCGTGTGCACTGCATAACAAGTCGATTAATGTTAATTATTTCACCCTGCAAAACCAGCCACGATATTTTTGCCCGATAATCCAAATAGATCATAAATTTCGGTGCCTCGCAAGACCGAAAGAAATTGTAACCAACACCTTGGTCTCTAGTACTGCTGAGACATAAAACCCATCTCGTCGGGCTGCCGCAAGCCAATCTATGAAGCGTCTGATCGAATATGCAGACAGTAGATCGAACTAGAAGAAAGAACAGCAAGTCAAGACCGGATCACGCGGATTCAGGGCTGTCAGTACATAATAAGAGCAAAAGATAGAATGAGAAAATTTATAAAATAGAAAAAGGGAACAGAGGATTAATTTGAGGTACTATAATTTGAGTGAAACAGGATAGGGGGAAGATGATAAGGGAGAATATGTAAAAGAAGTGGTCTATTAGTGTAAATAGAGCATACCACAGAAGATAAGAAATTTCGAAATGCTAGAAATAAGAAAAAGACGTCTCTATAGTATTATCGGTATACATCGTTCGTTGGCTCTTGTTTGTGTGCCGGCAAGCTTATGGCTCGTTGCCTTAGTTTTCGAATATGATGTTCCAGCACGGAGATCGGTGGTCAGAATCTGGCGGGAATTATCTATTTGATTGTGGAAGAGGATACGACCTCCTTCAACACCCCCGAAAGTACACACTTAAACGCTCAGGTTTACTCGCGGGAGCGATGAAGACTGGATCAATATTACTTCTTGTCTTTATGTTCTTAGTTACGTTGATCATCAGAATGGAGGGAAACTTTTTTTATTATCAGGTTATGTTAGCGGTGTAATGATATAGGATGATACTGTTGGGACCCGATACAAATTGGGAATTTTCAGCCCTAAGCCTTCTTGTTTCATAATACCGTGCGCTTACCCAAGGTGGAGTTGCCGGATCTCTCGCTGACATTGTATATATGCCCTAACAGCGGTCATTTATGGCTCTGATTTCCTGGATGGCATAGTTCTCGGCAATTGCCTAAGCTCCCATTTGGCAAAGCATTCCGTTGGACCTAACGAGTAACTTAACATGAGAGATAAGAAACTCGTGCCCGCCTAATAATAAGACTAACGCCAAAATTGACAGAGGCTAAATGGCTGACTAGATCGAGTCTCATTACTGGGGAAAGAAATGCTTTCCAGTAAGTTTTCAAGAAACACAAAGACGATGCAGCGGTTCACACTAACTGTAACCGATTGATATGCCGACGAAATGAATAGTATAGATCAAAAGCAACGAAACTAGACAACTGAAAGCCCAACACACGCAGGAGGGAAGAAAAATTTACAGCTAGATAATCGTTATTCCGGAAAATTTGCTGCACGCTAAATAAAAAAAAAAAGAGGAAAGAATAAGGATAAAAGAGAACGGAACTCTCATTTGAATGGATCTGAGTATACATATCTGAAAAAATTACAGCGAAAATCCGAATAAGAAAAATAAGAAACTGGATCAAAGACACCATATTATGGATAATTTAGAGATTATCAAAACTCCCCAGGATAAAGGCAGTAGTAATGCTGGCGTTCGTCCAGAAACCGAAAGTAGAAATAATAAGAGAGAGAAAAAGAATAAAAAATGCTTATTTCCATCGTTTAACTGTCGAATGGGGTGGTTGCGGATTCGACGTTCTCTGAGAAGTGGGAAACAGAGGAGGAAGATACGGCAAGACTACATGGAGAATGAAAAGCAGCCTAATCGAGCCAACCACTACGCTGAAAGTAGTCAAGAGCCAATAAGGAGAAGAAAAAGGTAAAAAGAGTAATGAGGGAGGAACACGTAAAGAAAAGAGCAACAGAAAATGGCCAAACACAAAATATAAATATGAAGAAATAGAAAACAGTAAAGTGACGCAGATCACAGAGAGAAGAAGAAAGAAATAGCAAGATACGAAGAGGAATGAAGGGAATGAAAAGTTACGAAGAAAGAAACTGAAAGACAAGGAACAATACACTATAGAGGGAGAACAGGTCAGCATGGAAAACAGTTTCCAAAATACTACTCTGGTCGTCCGAAAGCGATCATGGCATTTGGATCAGAATAAGAGGGTTCGGTAGAAGAGAGTTTTGAGGAAAATACCAATGGCGCAAGGCGTGGGGCAAATTCTCCCATCTCATTAGACAAAGAGGTTAAAGTAAGTGAAAAAAAATAAGTCCCGTAGAGGACAAAGCTTGTGCAGGGGTAGGGTAGCAACTGACGAAACGGAATACATGAGAAAAGAATAAGGGCGGGGGAATGTAGAGTGGGATAAGAAGAAGGTCGACTAGAAAGAAAATTAAAGAGAACAGGGGAATGAGAGGGGGGATACGAGAGTCAAGGGGACAGTTATAGAAAGAAACTAGAAGTGTTACTAATATACCTAAATTGACTAGAACCTCATTCACAATGCTTTATAGCTTCCTACGACAACATTCTTCTGCTGCATATTTTGTCCGCCGAGTCTTCGCATCTGGCACTCACCGTCGTTGCTTTTCACCATATGCCAATATGAACCCCCAGCGTACCCGCTAGAACCGCGAGGAAGAGTCTCCTAGTACTTGATTTCAACGGGAGACCTGTTCTAAAATAAAGTTAATGAGATCAGCTATGGTGAGTCATAGGATCTAGGATTTAGCAAGTAAATAAAAAGAAGGGAAGCAGACCCCAAGAAAAGAGAAAAAACGGAAGAG